TCAGGATGGGAGATTATTTTAAGGAAAAAAGGAGCAGATAGTGATTTTTTTTTTTACATTCTTTAATTTTTTAAAATTATACTTTAAGTTCTAGGGTACATGTACACAACATGCAGGTTTGTTACATATGTATACATGTGCCATGTTGGTGTGCTGCACCCATTAACTCGTTATTTACATTAGGTATATCTCCTAATGCTATTCCCTCCTTCCCCACCCCAGGATAACAGGGCCCCTGGTGGTGTGAGTATCCCCTTCTGTGTGCCAAGTGGCTTCTCATTGTTCAATTCACCGCCTCCATGAGTGGAACATGTGGTGGGTTTTGCGTTTGTTTTGTACCTTTGCCGATAGTGTGTTGCTGGAGGATTATGGTTTTCCAGCCTGCCATCCATGTTAAAAGAACCTACGAGGACGCATGAAATCTATCCTATTTTTATGGGGCTGGCTTGTATTTCCGGTGATGTGAATATTTGGCCCCATTTTCTTAATCCAGTCTGTCACTGAGGACATCTGGGGTTGGTTCCAAGTCTTTGTACTTATTGTGAATAGGCTGCCACAATAACATATGGGCTGTCCATGTGTCTTTGTTAGCAGCATGATTGTATAATCCTTGTGCGGTATGATACCCAGTAATGGCGGATGGCTGGGTCAATGGCTACTTTCTGCTTGGCAGCGAATCGCCACGCTGTCTTCCACAATGGTTTTAATCTAGGTTTACACTCCCCCAACCAGTGAAAAGTGGTTGGCTTATTTTCTCCCACATCCTCTCCAGCATCTGTTGTTCCTGGACTTTTTAATTGATCGCCCATTCTAACTGGGTGTGGAGATGGTATCTCATTGTGGTTTTGGATGTTACATTATTCTCTGGATGCTGGTGACAATTGGAGCTTTTTTTCATGTGGTCTGTTGGGCTGCCCATAAATGTTCTTTCTCTGAGAAGTGGTCGTGTTCATATCCTTCGTCGGGCCCCACTTTTTGATGGTTTTTGTTTTTTTGCTTGTAAATTTGTCTGAGCTGTCTTTGTAGATTTCTGGACTATGCTAGCCCTTTGTCAGATGGGGACTAGATTGCCAAATTTCTTCCATCTCTGGTTAGGTTGCCTGTTCCAACTCTGATGGTAGTTTTCTTTTGCTGTGCAGCCATGCATCTTTTAGGTGTTACTAGATCACCATTTGTCAAGTTTGGCCTTTGTGGTTGCCATTGCTTCTTGGGGTGTTTTAGATATGAGAGTCCTTGGGCGCCCATGGCTATGTCGCTAATGGTATTGCCTAGGTTTTCTTCTAGGGATTTTTATGCGTTTTAGGTCTAACATTAAGCTCTCTAATCCATCTTGAATTGAATTTTTGGCTGTAAGGGTCATGGAAGGGATCCAGTTTCAGCTTCTTATACTATGGCTAGCCAGGTTCTTCCAGCACCATTTATAATAGGAATCCTTTCACCCATTTTCTTTTTTGGTTTGTCAGGTTTGCAAAGATTCACATGGTTGTAGGATGTGGTGATATTATTTCGAGGGCTGCTGTTCTGTTCCATAGTCTATGATCTCTGTTTTGGTTACCAGTACCATTGCTGTTTTGGTTACTGTAGCCTTAGTAGTATAGTTCGAAGTCAGGTAGTTGATGCCTTCCATGCTTTGTTCTTTTGGCTTAGGATTGCTTTGGGCAATGCAGGCTCTTTTCTTGGTTCCATAGGAAACTGTGTTAAGTAGTTTTTTGCACTAATTCTGTGAAGAAAGTCCATTGGATAGCTTGATGGGGATGCATGAATCTATAATTTACCTCTGGGCCAGTATTGGCCATTTTCCGATATTGAGTCTTTTCCCATCCATGGCGATGGAATGTTCGTCATTTTGTTTGTGTTCCTCTTTTTATTGTCATTGAGCCAGGTGGCTTTGGTTAGTTATCCTTGGAAGGAGGTCCTTACAGTCTTTGTAAGTGTATTCCTAGGCATTTTATTCTCTTTGAAGCAATTGTGAAGTGGGAGTGTCACTCATGATTTGGCTCTCTGTTTTGTCTATTATTGGTGTATAATTGATGCTTGTGAGTTTTGGCACATTGATTTTTGTATCCTGAGAGTTTGCTGAAGTTGGCTTATCAGCTTAAGGAGATTTTGGGCTGAGACGATGCGGGTTTTCATGTTTAATATTACAATCACGTCCATCCTGCAAACAGGGACAATTTGACTTCCTCTTTTTCCTAATTGAATACCCTTTCTTTCTTTCTCCTGCCTGATTGCCCTGGCCAGAACTTCCAACACACTGTGTTGAACAGAAGTGTTGAGAGAGGGCATCCCTGTCTTGTGCAGGTTTCAAAGGGAATGCTTCCTGTTTTGCCCATTCCAGTATGATATTAGCTGTGGTTGTCATAAATAGCCTTACTTATTTTGAGATATGTCCCATCAAACCAAATTTATTGAGAGTTTTTAGCATGAAGGGCTGTTGAATTTTGTCAAAGGCCTTTTCTGCATCGTATTGAGATAATCAATGTGTTTTGTCTTTGGTTCTGTTATATGCTGGGATACGTTTTTGATTTGCATATGTTGAACCAGCCTTGCATCCCAGGGATGAAGCCCACTTGATCGATGGTGGATAAGCTTTCTGATGTGCGCTGGATTCAGGATTTGCCAGTATGTTTATTGAGGATTTTTGCATCGATGTTCATCAGGGATATTGGTCTAAAATTCTCTTTTTTGTGTGTGTGTGTCTCTGCCAGCCTTTGGTATCAGGATGATGTTGGCCTCATAAAACGAGTTAGGGAGGATTTCCTCTTTTTCTATTGATTGGAATCATTTCAGAAGGAATGGTACCAGCTCCTCCTTGTACCTCTGGTAGAATCTGGCTGTGAATCCGTCTGGTCCTGGACTTTTTTTGGTTGGTAGGCTATTAAGTATTGCCTCAATTTCAGAGCCTGTTATTGGTCTATCCAGGGATTCACCTTCTTCCTGGTTTAGTCTCAGGAAGGTGTATGTGTCCAGGAATTTATCCATTTCTTCTAGGTTTTCTAGTTTATTTGCGTAGAGGTGTTTATAGTATTCGCTGATGGCAGTTTGTATTTCTGCGGGGTCGGTGGTGATATCCCTTTTATCATTTTTTATTGCATCTGTTTGATTCTTCTCTCTTCTTTAGTAGTCTTGCTAGAGGTCTGCAGATAGTAACTTTTAAGACAGCAAACACTAGAGGACCTGCTGGAAATCTGGTAATGTTCTGTTTCTTCACTTGGGTGATGTGTTTGCTTTGTCATCGTTCATTGAGCTGTACACTTGTATTTTGGATGCTCTTTGTTATATATGCCACATTTCTTAAAACATTAAACTATCATGTTAACACATTGCCTTCCAAATAATTCATTGACCAGACTCTAGTTGTGAAAGCTGTACTTGACTCCTAGCTATGCTCTGGTTCTAACTAGTCATAAAATACACAGGATAATTCATTTAAACTGTGATAGGAAGAGCGTTGTGCCACTGATCAAGTTCCAAATACTGGGAAAGAGGGAGAATTACAACCACTGAAGGAATTAGTGCAGGTCTATCATATCCCCTTTTGACATCTAAAATGTTACTCACTTTTTAAGTTTGGAATTTAAAATGAATTAGAGAAAACACAGTAGGAAATCTTGGATTTAAATATAGCATTAAAACTCCAAACCCCACATATGAAACTATAAGAGCATTATTTCTCAGTACAATGCAGTAACCTCATAAAAACATATATAAGTTGAATTAGGTGTGTCCTAATTATTTTGAACTTTGGGCATTAAGATGAGTCTATAATTTATCTTATTTTTTATATAAGGATGATTTACCTTATGGTGTTTATTAAGGATATCAAAGCCACCTGTATAGTGTAGTCACTTAAGATCCAGATCCCACTGTAATGTATCTATCAGTCATGTCCTCCCTGACATTTTGATTTAATTGCTTCAGTTCCTCACTACATCTCAATAGGTTGGAACTATAGATCCAATCTAACAAGATAAAATATAATGGGGCTAATCCAAGGTTTTATGTTTAGGTTCAGGATAAATAAAGGGAAATATGATTTACCAACATAGGTAATGAAGTGTCAGGAGGTTATGTGGATTTAAGATCAAACTCTTCAGTGGTACTACCCCCTCAAAAGGTTACTGTGATTATAGGCAACACTATTGCAAGTAATGGGAGATAATTAGACTACACCAAGAGGATTACGGTAAGTTTATGGCACCATATTTTAAGAGTGACACTGACAAACTAGAGCTCATCCAAAGGAAAGCACCAGATGTTTAAGGGGTTATGAAAAATGGATGGCCAGGTGCGATGGCTTATGCCTGTAATCCCAGCACTTTGGGAGACTGAGGCGGGCAGACAGGAGTTTGAGACCGGCATGACCAACATGGTGAAACCCCATCTCCACTAAAAATACAAAAATTAACCAGGCATGGTAGCACATGCCTGTAATCCCAGCTACTCTGGAGGCTGAGGCAGGAGAATTGCTTGAACACACGAGGCAGATGTTGCTGTGAGCCGAGATCACACCATTGCACTCCAGCCTGGGCTACAGGAGCGAACCTCTGTCTCAAAAAAAAAAGAAAAAGAAAAAGAAAAATAGATTACATGGCTGAAGAAATTGGACTGTGAAGTCTTACAGCAGCTCTGTAAGGCACTATCTTCATTTTACAGAAATAATACTGAGGCTCAGAGAGAATAAATGATTTATTAAAATGTAACTAAATAGTGGTTGGCTCAGGACCCACAACAACTCCTGATTCTTAATCTGATATTCTTTCTGTTTCAAAATATTGGCTTTTAATTTAATTTTTTAAAAGTCTGGCTGTTAGCCTATATATATGGAGAAACTTGAAGTTGTAAGGGAAGGGTTACAGATTAAATGAATGGAAAAGGAAAGAATGCTCAGGGTAGAAAGATCAATGTGAGAAAATAGTTTGGTTATCAGTATTATAAGTTTATCAGTTATTATAGAAATGTATTATATTTTACATATTTTTCTCTTTCTCTTTTTCAAGGTTTTTGATTCCAATGAAGAATCTGGGTATCTTGTTCTCACCATAGTTATATCAGGTCATTTCTTCATTTTCCAAGGACAGACACTACTGGTAGGTTTATGCATAATAGTTTAACATGGAAATATATCTTTGTCTTCTTAGCTTTACATGAATTTTTGTATCCTCAAGCTTCTTCAGTCTCACTGAAATTCATCAAGGTCAACACATTAAGCATTTATCAAATGCGCTAAATGTGGGAAATATAGAAACATACTGAATATTGCCTGCCCTAAAGCGGTTTAGGATTTTGTTAGGAGTCAGAGTGGATCAAAAGGTTGAAATTAACCAGTATGATAAAGGATTCTGTAGTAAGGGAGATTGAGTTAAGATAGGCTAGGTTAACAGAGACAAGTGTGGAGGGTTTTCCAGATAGGGAAAACAGCATATGCAGAGGGATAGATTTGCAGAAATAAAGAAAACAAAAAAGTGTTATTATTAATTGATAAGAGTCCTCCATAAAACTCTAGTTTTATAATGATGCATGTGTTCTTTATTCTGAATATATATACACTTTTGGAAATTTTAGAATTAAGAAATATGTAAAGAAAATAAGAATCAACTTGGTTGAAAGTTTAGGTTTTATTTGGTACATAGAAACCAATGAAAGAAAAAAAAAATTAGTAACTTCCAAACAAAGAAATTGTACAAGAAAGGAACATATAATGGAAAGTTATTATGTCATTTAGCTGTGAATGATGTCTACATTGACTTAAATTCATACAACAAATATTTACTGAATATCTACATGGGCATAATTAATTTAACAAATATTTATTGAATAATTAGTATATGCTAGGCATTTTAGGGGATGCGAGGGATATAGCAGTGAACAGTGAAGACAGAAATCCCTTTCATTATGGGATATCATCATTCTAGTGAGGGAAAACCAGCAGTAAGCAAATAGGTCAAATACATTTAAAAGACATTAATTTTTTTGGATCGCTTACATGTTCTGTCATAATATGGTAGGAGCTCACATGTATATATTGTGATAATTCATCTTTCTGCTTAAATATAGCCTTCTCATTGAACGTGAGATGACCTGCAAAGTCATCTTTGTGTTCCTTGTGACTTAAAACTGAGGTATGAGTTGTACTATTTTGCTTTATCTGCTACTGTCAGGGTCTGGATCAGGTGCAGAAGATAAGGTTTCTTCAGCTACTAATGAGTACTACAAATGGTAGACTTGAGGGATACCTAGTGCACAGCTAGTTCTCCCTGTCAATATCATGAGTCTTTGCTGAATGGTGACATTAAAGCAGTTTGGCTTCCGCAGGCATAGGAGACCACCCCATGCTGTCTCTCTGCTCCATCTTTTTGCCCCAGTGGTAATTATTGTGAACAAATGGATAGAAATGTCTTTGTATCATACATAGAATGATTTTTGCACTGTAGTCACAAAACCAAGTTTGTCAAATTCTAAGATATCCGTTACTGAGAAATATAAGGATAACTCTGCAATTTGGTGCATGTTGCATATACAGTCATGTGTCTTATTACAACATATCAGTCAAGAGAGGACCACAGATATGATAGTGATCCCATTAGATTATAAGGGGGCTGAAAAATTCCTGTCACCTGTGACATCTGGGTGATACTGGCCCTTGTAGGCATAGGCTAATGTACATGTTTGTGTCTTAGTTTTTAACAAAAAGTTTTTAAAATACAACAATTTTAACAATGTAGTAATAGAAAAAATATTGTATATGTTTTAAGTTATTGTAAAGCAGTCCAAATGTTTTTTAAAATATTTTAAAGTTTATAAAGTACAAATGTTACAGTAAGCTAAGGTTAATTTATGATTGAAGAAAGATTCTTTTTAAATAAATTTATTTATAAAAATAGTCATTAAGGAAATGCAAATTAAAACCGACATGAGATAACACTACATACTTTTTAGGATAGTTAATTGAGTGTACAGTGTTTATAAAGTCTACAATAGTGTACAGTAATGTCCTAGACCATCACATTCACTCACCACTCACTCACTGACTCACTCAGAGCAATTTTCACCTTTCAAGCTCCATTCATGGTAAGTGCCCTATACAGGTGTAATTTTTACTGTACCTTCTCTATGCTTAGATATACACATATTTAGCATTGTGTTAGTGTTACAGTTGCCTACAGTGTTCAGTACAGTAACATGTTGTACAGGTTTGTAGCCTGGGAGCAATAGGCTATCCCACATGGCCTAGGAATGTAGTAGGCTGTACCATCGAGGTTTGCATAAGTATACTCTATGATAGTCACACAATGACAAGAGACCTAATGACACATTTCTTAGACTGTATCCCCATTGTTAAGTGACATATGACTATACATATTTAACTTAAATACTGTAATATTTTTTAAAATCTTTTTTAAAATTTTTACAAATCACTTTTATTGAGGTATAATTTACATAAAATTCACTGTCTTTAAGTGTTCAATTTGATGTATTTAATGTATATAGTCATGTAACCATCACCACAATCATGATACAGAACATTTCAATTAACCCAGTTTCCTTGTGCCTCTTTACAGTGAGCTTCTCTGCCCACCTTCAGCACCTAGAAACCATTGATCTGCTTTCTATCACTCTAGTTTTGCGTTTTTAAATAATTTTTATTTATATATATTTTTGACAGATAAAATTGTATATATTCACTGTGTGCAACATTATTTTGAAGTATATATACATTGTAAAATGACTAAATCTACCTAATTAACATTATTAATATGCATTACCTCACTGTAGTTTTGCCTTTTCTAGAATTCATGTAATGGAATCATATCATATGTAGTCTTTTTAGTCAGGCTTCTTCCATTCAGTGTAATTTGAGATTCATCTCTGTTGTTCCATGTTATCTGTAGTTGATGCCTTTTCATTAATGAAGAGTATTCCATTGCATAGGTAAACTTATTTTGCTTATCCATTCAGCTTTTGATAGACACTGGGGTTGTTTTCATTTTTTTCAGCTGTTATGAATAACATTACTGAATATTTGTATACGAGCCTTTGGGCATGTTTTCATTTTTCATTGTTAAATGTCCAAGAGAAGAACCGCTGAGTCATATGGCATGTCTGTGTTTAACTTTATAGGAAACTGCAAAACTGTTTTCCCAAGTTGCATTCTCATAATGTATGAGGGTTCCACATGTTCCACATCCTCACCAACACTTATTATTGTCAGTCTTTTTAATTTTAACTATCCTAATAAGTGTGTAGTATTATCTCATGGTGGTTTTAATTTGCATTTCTTTAGTGACTAATACTGTTGAGCATCTTTTCATGTATTTGCCATTTGTATGTCTCATTGGTGAAGTGTCTGTTCATGTCTTTTAACCATTTTTGAGTTGTTTGCCTTCTTATATTTGAATTAAGAATTCTTACTCTGGTTACAGCTCTTTTATCAGAAACATGTTTTTCGAATATTTCTACCAGTTTATAGCTTATTTTTTCATTTCTTAGTGTCTTTTGAAGAGCAGAAGTTAAAAATTTTGAAGTGCAGTATTTTTTTCTCTTATGGTTTATCCTTTTCATATACTACTTAGGAAATTTTTACCTATGCCAAGATTGCAAAGTCATTTTTTTTTTTTTTTTTTTGAGTCAGAATCTTGCTCTGTTACCTAGGCTGGAGAACAGTGGTGTGATGACAGCTCACTGCACCCTTGACCTCCCAGGCTCAAGTAGTCCTCCCATCTCAGCCTTCTGAGTAGCTGGGACTGTAGGCACACACCACCATGCCTGGCTAATTTGTTACAGTTTTTGTAGAGACAGAATCTCACTATGTTGCCTAGGCTGTTCTCAAACTCCTGGACTCAGGCGATCCTTTCACCTCAGCTTCCCAAAGTGTTGGGATTATAGGCATGAGCCACTGTGCCTGGCTGCAAAGATTTTTTAAAATGTTTTCTTCTAGAAGTTTTATGGTTTCAGCTCTTATATTTAGGCTTCTAGTTTATTATGAAATTTTTTAGTATTTAATATTAATATTTTTTATTTTTATTTCATATAGTGGTCCTTCTTTCCCACAATTAAAGCAATGTGGTATTGATAAAAATTACTATATTATGGAATGTAATCATGGATCTTAGGCAATTTACTTCTGGAACCATTGAATTAATTTTAATATATGGCAAAAGTTAAGAATTTGGGTTTATTGGCCGGGTGCAGTGGCTCATGCCTGTAATCCCAGCACTTTGTGAGGCCAAGGTGGGTGGATCACCTGAGGTCAGGAGTTCGAGACCAGCCTGGCCAACATGGTGAAACCTCATATCTACTAAAAATATAAAAACTAGCCTGGTGTGGTGGTGGGTGCCTGTAATCCCAGCTACTCGGGAGGCTAAGGCAGGAGAATTGCTTGAACACAGGAGACGGAGGTTGCAGTGAGCTGACATGGTGCCACTGCACTCCAGCCTCGGTGACAGAGTCTCCAAAAAAAAAAAGAATTTGGGTTTATTTTTTGCATGTGGATAGCAATTATTTTAGTACAATTAATTGAAAAGACTAGCTTTCCCTCATTGAAACCTGGGTATCATTGTTGAAAATTAGTTTGCTAAGTATGTGTTCGTCTATTTCTGGACCCTTTTCTGTTCTGTTGATCTAAATGTCTATCCTTACTCCAATAACACACTGTCTTTACTTCTACTTTGTTGTAATTTTTGAAATCAGGTAGTTTAATTCTTCTTCCAACTGTGTTCGTTTTCAAAGTTGTTTTGACTATTATAGGTCATTTGCATTTCCATGTAAATTTTAGAATGACATTTCCTACAAAAAAGCTTGCTGGGATTTTGATGGGACTGATTTGAATCTATAAATCGATTTGAGAAAAACTGACTTCTTTTACCATCTTCTAACTAATGAGCATATTTAAAACTCTCTGTTTATTGATATATTTGATTTCTCTCATCAATGTTTTGTAGTTTTCACAATACAGGTCTTATCCATACTTTGCTAAATTTATCCACAAGTATTTCATATTTTTTATGTTCTTGTAGGTAGGATTTTAAAATTTCAGTATCTAATAGTGTGTTGCTGATGTGTAGAAACATAATTGATTTTTAAATATTGA